GATTGTTTGTTCAGATTAGTCGATATTTTTTCGTACAAAAGATTTCGTACGAATTTTTGGTTGAAAGTTAAATCTCGGTAGACAAGGCGGAGACAGAAAGAAGAATATGAATTACGTATATATCGGGACTTATTTAGCTTTCTAGCGGAGGCTTTGAATTTTCAACAGGAAAACACTTGAATTTTAATCAACATATAAAGTGGTTATTTTTCAACACGTATTTCTAGATACTTTTAGCATGTGTCGCGAAAATATGCATATGAATAATTTCTTTATCATTTTGAATGCGGTAACATAGAAGATACCATGTAGTAAAAAATATAAATATGATAAAAAGCGCGTGCGCAAATTTATGCAGTATACTTGTATAAATTCAAATTATTAATCCTTTTGCCTGTTCTTCTTAAGATGATGTAATCGCATTCTTTATTATAGAGAATCTCTTAAGAATTTTAAGGATGAATTTACGTATGATTGATGCATGAGATTAGTATACGACAAAATTAAATATTTTAGCGTTTTAATTTCTGAAAGCAACATAAAAGTAGATTGATATATTTGATATATATTGATATGCTTATTTAATTTTATTAATATCACGTAATATATAATTTATTTTTGTGATTGTTATCTGTGTTGATTCTTATGACAGTAAATCTGATATATTTAAACTCAAAGACAAACTATTATTAATAATAGAAGAAAAGAGAGAATATAATTTTTGTAAATAATTATAAAAAAATTAACCTTTATATTAAATTTTATATCAAACTCAAACGCTAGATTTATATTAATATTTTAAGACATGTAAAATTTTAAACAAATTTCTGATATAGATTTTGTGTAAAAAAGTGTGTATCTCATACTCTTATTATATGATCAAAATTACATATCTTAGCGATAATAGAAATGTATATTACATATATGTAATATAGTTTAATTGCATCTAAAAAATTTTTTTATACAACCTATTATTGAGAATTAAAAGATGTATCATGTTAATAAAAGTTTTCATATTTTCTGTATTGGAAATTAAAGGATATTGTATCTGCTATGTGAATACATAAAGATACAAGCAAAGTTTGGAACTCGTGTTTACAATTTTCGGTACATGCACTCCTATAGAGAATGCCGGTAGCATGCCATTGTTGGCAGACCCTTAGTGTTAGACATGCATCAAAATATACATGTATATGCTCTCGTTTACATTACGGCAGATTATGTTTGCTGAAACTAAATATTATGGAGTTGAAAGAGTAACGTAATAATACATTTAAAATATTTTAGTTTATATGATCTAGAAATATATATGGATATTAGCTAAAAATTTTTATTATATCTTCATTGTATATATATATATATATATATATATATATATATATATATTTACATGCATTTTTATTTTTAATGTTATTTTTAGAATTTATAGTTTTATGTTGTGTTATGTACACATTATTATCAGCATTTAATGATTTTTATCAATTATTATTTTAAAAAATTATATATTAATTAACAGTTACATATGTGTATGACATATCGAAATATAATTTTTAATAATAAAATTTATTAGCTATTATTTTTCAGTTATTTTAGAGTGACTTTTTATTTAATAGAGATATTTTATATAACTTCATTTTGTTATTATTAAAAAATATTTTAACATTACATTTTTATTAATTTAGTTATCTTGAATGTAAATACTTGAATGTAATAATTATATTAGGTGTACAATGACAATTCTTTTAAATCAAATATATAAATTAGCTCTTTTGAAATCACGCATTGGAATCCCTGGCGTAATATAATTGAGTTTAAAGGATCAAATAAATTCATCTTCTGCAAATGCAATATGAAATATGTATACAGCTGCACGCGCTGTCATCATATCAGCTATTATTCTGGAATTCTCATACTTCTTGTTTATATGTCCAATTATTCGCTTTAAAATTGATACCTATTTATAGAATAAGAATAGTGATAAAAATATTTATAGAATAAGAATAGCGAATAAAAATATTTTAAAGTTTCATATCTATTTTTACTCTACTTGCACAAGTCGCGGTAAATGTTAAGCTTTTTATCAATCACTTGTGTAAAAAGAAATAGAACTATTCTTTTTTATGGAAGAAAAAGAGTGGAAGCTACGAAGACTTTTGACGGAGATACATCTGCCCAAGGGCAAAGGAGAAAGAGAGAGTTAGGTCGGCGGATGGCGGAGGGTCGACTACCTCGTGAAATAACAATTCGGTTTCGATCGCGAGAAGTCTGGAAATTTTCATCTCCGCCCGGAGGCACGAGACGCGATGGTGGGGTGGTAAGGGGGTAGTTGGAGGTCCGTTCTGGAAAGGTGGCGAGAGAAGGAGGCTGGATCGTACGGGGTGCCGAGCGGAGGTGGTAAGGAGAACTGGGGAATGAAACTGGCGAACGAGAGGGGTTCGGATGGAGAAAGGGGTCGGCGGCGGAGACGGGGGGAAGGGGTGGCGAAGGGTTTAAAATAATAGTAGAACATAGCGGCTGAGTCGGTCGCACGAGGAGAGTGAGAAGAGAACTCCGCCCCGCGAAATATGGCGAGCTTCGCCAGGACGTGATTGGGTGACGGGAGGACCCCGAAGCACCCAAGCCAAGACATTGGTGCCCCCTTTTCGCACTGCTACCCCCTTATTAACTATCCTCAGGTACCTGGAGGGTGCCCTCTTACCACTCGCTCCCTTGCACTTTCTCTTTCGCTTTACTTTACGTTCTCTCTCACTTTCTCTATCCTCTCTCTTTTTCTCTCCCTCTTCTGATCTCGCATATTCTCGGCTCTCTCAGAGTAGATTCAGTGAAATATCCTTGCCCATTGTCTGGACGGCGCAACCGGTCGACGCTCGATACCTCCTGATATGCGAATATCACCACGTGGTTAGTAGTAAAATATAGGTTGCCGGCGGATCAGCACCCGGCAGTAGTAACGGTCGACGCATAAGCCAGACACGACGAGTGATTCGATGCTACTTTGGTAAATCTCACCATTGTACTTATTTATTTCTCGTGTAAATTATGTGAATTTTTTATTGACAATTCCTTTTTCATTTTAAATAGACTTTTTAAAAATAATAAAAAATAATATTTTAAATTAATGTAAAAAAATATCCCAAAATATTAGATTTTTGTTTTTAGTAATAATAATATATCAACGGATCAAATTTTTAAATCAAATGGACATATATGCATGTTATGTGTGTGTAAAAAATAACTTTAATAACTTCTATATATATTATTTTTAATGATGTCCGCAATCATTTTACAATATTTATAATATTGCTTACATTTTAAACTAGTTTATTAAAATATATTTCAAGTCAATTATTTAATATAATTAATAGATACAATGTGGCATAATTAATAGAATAATAATTTTACTTTTATTTAGATACAATGGCATCAACTGTAATTATATTGTCTTTTTAATAATATTATAAAAAATAGGTAGCCAATTATTATAAAAAGACACATTCCAGCATTTAATTTTCAGATCTATCGAATATTTGAGATATTTCTCCGACACGTGAAACAAGCCGTCATCCGTGACAGTTGAACTCATGTGTCACGAAATATCCTTATCCACGGTCTGGTCGATACGAATGGGCATCGCTCGATATCCCTTTTGCATGCGGAAATCGTACATAGTGCGGGAGGTGAAATTTGGTTCAGCTTCGAGGTGGTCAGCAGAACGAGCTTCCGGTCTGGAGACCCGATAATCTCGGCTGCGCAGTTCCATGCATGGAGTTGTCAATCAGGGTTGATGGTGTCCCGCTGGAACGTCCGCTGTCTGTCCGACTCGTCGACGGATATATACGAGGTTCGGACACTGCACGACATCCGCAGTATTCATGCGATCTATCTGATCGCCTTCCTGTTCGCGAGCAATACGATCGCGCGGTTCTCTGTTACGATTCAATCTAGTATTAAGCCTTGCGTCGCTTCATTCTGATATATTAATGCCGCGATAAAAGTTGTTCTCATGATCAATTAAAGCAAGATTAATATGTACTCCGTCTGTACTTCATTTTAAATGATAAATCTATATAATATATTGAAAACGCACGTCTACCGACTCTCCGTCGACACATCGACTCACGTGGCATTCAGCTTGCAAAAATTTCGTCCATGCGGCCACTTTTCCCCTGTGGCAGCGAAAACGCAGATAGGCGTGGATTCGAATTAGCGCGAGATTTCGAACGGGTTTCATGGTAATTGGAAGCGGTCGTTTTTGCCATCGTGCTACGCTTTCGGTGGTAGTTACGTAGGTAGGTGGGTGAGCAGGTAGATAGCAGGTACTTGTTTGCGGAGGGCGCGAATAGATTAATCATCCGTTAAGCTTGGGCAAGACGTATACGCGTTGGTGGCTGTACCGGCTTAATCCAGCAGGTTCACCCCTTTATGCCACCGCCTGTCCTCTTCGGTATCACCCTTCGCCTGGCTGGCGCGACGGAATAACAGATGTAACCTGAGCGCCTTACACAGCAGTGAGTTACGCCCACTCTCCGAGATACGCCAGATTGTGTAACTTCGTAAGCTCTCGGGGTTTTTTTTAATAGATTTTCTGGTGTAACAAATTAATGTAAACATCGTCAATCTATTTTCTGCTTTATCTTTGAAATAATTTTTCATTATCTGGCCATTGAAAGATCAGATATATAATTAATGACTATATTATTTTTTTCTTATTTATAATTAAACTTAGATAGCTAAACTAATCGAAACACTCGAAATTATTTATTAGTAAAACACTCGAATTATATTTGGTTGATAAAAATTCAGAATGAATAAAATTGTTCCAGTGTCTTTTAAACGCATAGAAGATTAATTTTTGTACTTTTAATCTATAAATGTTTCTTTTAAATATTTTTATTCAATTTTTCGTATATTTTTGGACAGATACATGTAATTAATTTCGTATATTTTTAAGAGTAAGCTTTTACAGTTGTTACTTGGTAAAATAAAAGATGTGCGTAAAAGACGATGAAAAAGTGAAAATCTTAGGAAGAAGTTTGATATCTTTTATGGTGTAACAGAATCTGTGACAAACGTTGTCTATGCTTAATACGTCTCTATGTTCATACAGTCTTACTTTCGCAGTCTGGACGGACGATTTACGTTGCTTCCCGCAACAGCCACAATCCTCCTGCCCCGTCGCCCAACTTCCAGTTCTATCGACTTTGCGGTATAACCGTGAATACAGATTATATCGTGCGATGGTGATCCATAAATGCATGGTTGTGTTGGTAGTTTATGCGCCGTTGCATAGAAATTTAGGATTGGCGAAGAGCTGAATTTATATTTCCTGCGAACCGTATTTGATAACGTCGGTATATCTTCGCTCTAATATTCTTGAGTGTGTTTTACGGCAACTTTTCTTGAAATTGCTACATATTATAATGTTTCCATGTTTATATGTAAAATATTGCAGCATTTTTATATATTTTCGAACATCTCAATGTGCATGCTCTATAACTCTCTCTTTCTCTCTCTCTCTCTCTCTCTCTCTCTCTCTCTCTCTCTCTCTCTCTTTGTTTCTTTCTTATTTCTTATATGTATAAATATTGCGTATGTGAATTCATTATTACACAAAACTTTACGATTAATAGGAAAATTGAATATAAATTTACAGATTTTTAATGAAACACTAAAGATTTGCTTATTTATATATTTTTTATATATTTTGCAATAAATTTGAATATGCTTGATCCATATTTGAATAAACATGTGCAAACATTCATGTCATCTTGACAACATTGAATAAAATTAGAAAAAAAGCTTTACATCGCATATATTTTTTAAATAAATATCATCCAAGTATGTATTATTATGTGATAAATACTAAATCGTATTTTTTCATATTGCATTTATTTTATCAAGATAATGCGTTGCTTGAATAGTTTCTTATAAAATTGTGTCAAGAAATAGAGAAATTCAAATATATTATTTGCAAACCTATTTCGATAAGACGCGACATAAAAAGCAGTCGGAAAAGGGACGAGAACAACTTACGAAGCGATAAAAACGAGAAGAAACGGGGAATTTCATATCGTCACCCTCGACGCTTCCGAGTAAGATCGTCGGTGCAGAACACACCTGAGTGCCGCTTTTTTCCTTCTTCATGGCGATACAAGAAAGCTGTTGCAGAAGAATTTAGGATGCTTTCTAAAACACATACACGCACAAATCCTCGTATAATGAAATACTTACTCAATTATAACCGCGACTTGTAACTAATTTCTCCTTAAAATAATCAAGAAACGAATTAACCGGTGATTTTTGTTTCTATTTTTTATTCAGATTTTATATGCGTAATCAAAGCTATAATTTTGTTAAAAAAATTTAGTAACAGAGTTAATTAGTATTTTATAATAACAGAGATAAAAATCACGAGATTTATATGTTAAGACGTCAAAATATGTAATCAGTAGTAAATTTGTATATTTCAAATAAATGTGCCTTACAAAATTCTATTGACAACAACATCAAGCCAATCGTGATTCATATATTACATCTTTTTTTTGCGGTGGGATTGTCCAACGGTGCTGCAAAAAATTAAAATAAAGGTACTTAGACGGCACTCAACTATAGGTGCGGCATGCGATGTGTCAGAATAGCGTGGCCGACGCGTATCGCACTTTAATACAGAGTACAATCGTGTCAACGGCAAAACCGACGCGACAAAAATCAAGCCGCGGTGTTAATTGTGGCTACACTGATTTCACCTCATCGTTACTCGTACGTTCCACACCGACAATTCACCCATGTTCCGACCAACCCCTCATATAGGCTGGTTTTTGGAGCGCACACCGAGAAAGATGTACGAGGGGAAATATCGACAGCTACTGTCCATTGAATATCGCATGTATGCTCTTACGAAAAATCGAGTGGTATGGGTTTATAATAATTGAGTGACGCCACGTTATCTAAAATTGTTTTCAGCTAAATTTATATCGTTCTCTATTTATGATTCATTAGTATGAATTGCACTACATTATTATTGCATAAACGTTATTAATAAAACAACGTATAATTTGTTACTAAATCTCTTATTTCACGATTTATTAATATATAATAATTATTACTGTTATGTATTATCATTAATAATGAAATTATTTGCACGATATTTATTTATTATATATTTTTGCAAAAAGAAACTAAAAAGATTGTAAAATTAATTAATAAAATAATCTCTACGATAAAAAACTTACAAATATGTATTTAATTTTAGAAAGCGGTATAATAATAGGATAATAAGCATTTTTAAAGATTTATAATACGTGCAATCTTCACGATCAGTTTTCACAGCAATAATCGTCATGGATGATTTCGAATATTAGCCTATAGTTAGATATAGATAGAATATCAACCGCTATAATGTACCAATAATGTTTCGAGCACGCGAATAACGTTATTATACACGGTGCATTAAACAAAACGATTATTGCCTGCTAAATGATCAGTATTCAACGGACTTCGTCATTGGGCGACGTTTGTTTACTATATCATTGTTATTATTGTTATTAAATGTGGTATCTCCTGTTGATTGGTATCACATTACTTAAATACATTACGATACACACAATATTAATGCTAATATTATGGATAGGTGAGCATATACTGTATAATTTGTTCTATGGTTTACATTTTCATCAAAATGTTTATGCAAATCTATGAATATTACCTTGACACAATTACTAAACGGAATACAGGAGGAACAAAGGGATAATAGATTATTTTCAAAGCCCTTGGTTGCACTCGAAACGGTTTAGATGGTTCTTACGAGCTCAAAAGAGATAAGCGTACCGTAAAAGTTTTTCACCCAACTTTACATGGAGATTGGTGTATCGATCGCTTTGCAGCAGTCGAAATTTTGTTTAAAAGCTCTCGGTTATCACTAAGTCAGCCGATCCTTCTTCGCGTTTCCTTACAGATCACTTGGACGCGACGAGAGGCGCGGCCACTTTCTGTACAACGGAATGTTAAAGCCAACTGAAGCGTTGGTCTCCATGAATAACAAATGCACAATCTCTAGCTTCTACTAGCACCTTGGCTCCTTACCCCGCGACACCCCGAAAAGTTTTCCACCCTCTCCGGAAAACTTTTAACTGGATACATTACCTGCTTGACTACCACCGCCCTTCCTTTTTTATCACAGCCCGGGCTTTTAAACTCCTACGGTTGGCGCAGCCGCCGTTATTAGAGATTTCATGGAGAAACTGGGGGAAAATAATGAATAATAGTCACGAGGATCGTCATTACGGCCATTGTTACAAAGACACGCCAGCCAACGATCCCCTCGAGATGTGATGCGACAAATTTTACACTGCATTGTATTATCATTTCCAACAGCACCGTGTTACATCGGCCTTTTAAGTTTGTTTGTTGCATAAATTATTGATCGACTTTTTATTCATTATTAAATTCCTAATCTCCGGTCAATCAATTAAACATGCGGCTATTACAATTCAAACTCTCTCTTTTGTATGTGTGTGCGTGTATGTGTACAATTAAATAAAATCCTTTTTTATAATATAATTAATTTTTAATAAAATATATAAAATATGTTATGTGTTTTAAGCCTAATGTGTTTTAACCCCCAATTTTCTCTTTTCAAAGTATAAAGATAAGCAATTTATAAACATTTATAAAAGTGTTATTTCGTAACAATATCTATCAATATTGCAGTTATGAATCCATTTTACTCGAAACACGTATAAACTTTTGAACAAATGAATAAAATTATTCCTTTATAGAAGTTAAATTACTTTACAAAAGTTCTCAAGTACCGGAACAAGATCCGCAACAGATAAATAGAAGCATCTTTCTATTTGCATTTAATGCGTAATAGAAATTACAGTATTGCGCATATTACTTAATACAATTTATTGCGCAATTACTTAATATAATTTATGATTTATTTTAATTAAAAAACATTTTAATATTTTTTAACATAATTTTAAGTAATGCTATTATAATAGCTAAAGAATTAAATTTTTAATTAAATTTATTTTAATTATATATACATATATATATATATATATTTATTTATTTATTTATATAATTTTCTTGGAATGTGTTTTTTTGGATATGTTTTTGGAATTTACGTAAATTTGTTTATTTCAATGTGTTTAAAAGTAAACTTTATAGCAAACTTTAATAACTAAAAATAAAAACTCTATTACTATCAGTAAAATTAATGAATATTTTTATGCATGCTTCTTTTTATAATTATTATAATTTAATTTTTTTTTTAAATATTTTTATATATTTTTTATAAATATAAATATATATGTATATATATCTATTTATATATTGCTGTTTGTAATATATATGACCTATTTAAAATATTCTAATATTATACACTTAAAAATATTTCCAATAAAATTCAAAAATAATAAGAGGACATAATATTATATATGTGCGTATGACTTGCAAACGTTCCTAAAACAATAATCCAGATCGTGGTTTAAGATATAATCTCAACATTAACAAAATTAAAACGCTGATAGACAATCTTAATTAGCGAGCTGTCCATTATTCTACACGAAAAAAACTTATTTATCACTGCAAAAATTTGAAGGAGAACGGAGAAAAAAATATTATACATGGTTCTATTTACCCAGACAAACGAATCTTTCTAATTGTGTGTATGTGTGTGTATATGCACGCGTGTGAATCGTGAAATTCTACCTAACTCGCCGCTATGTCATTTCTGTTAACCCGCTCCCCCTGTCGACTGTTTCCGACCGTTTGCGAGATTCGTCCCCATCTAAGAACTTGAGCAAATATTGGTTTTGTCTAGTGGCCTCGCGATTTGCATAATTAAATCTTGGAATGTGCGCCTGTGCCTTCGCTGCGATGCGATGCGACGCGACCAGTTGGCGGATGCGAAAATAGGAATAATTAAAACTTGGGCAGATTATTTGCTGGAATCCACCAGGACGAAAACACGCTCGGAGCTGCGTGGAGATTTATTAAGGGTCCCCGACTATATACAGCATGCGATGAGCGCTGCACGTGGGATTTTCCAGGCGTTTCCTAGAGCGACGCCGCGTCATAAAAGAGAGGCATCCGCTCTGCGACCAGATTAATCCAACTAACGCAATTTTCGCGAAATGGGATGTGTTTTACGTGACGTCGCGTAATCGCAAAAATTCATGAAAATCCGGAACAATACTTGTCCGCACATAGTATTTTATCCTTTTTTTCGCGAGTCCACTGAATCGATGTTAACAGCAACAAACATTGACATTTATTATAACTTGTAGAATAGAAATTGTTTAATGCAGGTTATATTTACATCATGTTTTAGATAATACAGCTTAGCTATAAATCAATATTATAACTCTCGTGTTACATATATACAGCGCTTTAGAATATTTTTCTTTTAATTTTGTAGCATACTAGAATATAAAAAAGTGTATAAAATAATTTCGCTTCTCATAAAGCATGTATATAACTCTAACAATAAGTACTATCACTTATACATAGTAAATTTGTGTTATGACTGGTTGTCATGGATTATGCGTACGTAGTGAATCGAAACTTTCGCAGACGACAACATACATATATTGTTTCTTTTCCAGGTCATTTCAAGCCATTACGGTAAATGCCGCATTAATTTTGCAACATGATCAGAGATAGACAAGTCAATGCTCGCTCAGCGGATTCCATTCTTGTCGTGCACCTGTAGCGCAGTTGACCGTATTACATTAAATATTTCTCACTCACTCATTTTAGTACTCTTGTTTTTGTACCAAAATATTTACGAGGCTGAACAAACATCAAAAGTGGAATTAAAACGAAAAATAGAATTAAAATGTTTCAAATTTATGCGCTTTGTATTAAATTATATTATTGTTGCATAAAGAATACTGCATTTACATTTTCATATGAATATATATATGTATACAATTTTTTGTTTTCTAATTTTATACGAATTTTTAAAATGCGACACATATATAACCTAAGTTTGCTGTATGGGATGCGTTTTTAAATTAAAATTAATAAATTCTCCTAATAAATTTTTTAATTCTCATAAGTATACAAATCGTATATTATTCACATCGATAAATAAAATGCTTGTAATTATCCGGTAAAGATAAAGATTCTCAGATTTGCAGTCTTTATTCTATTTACTCAGCTCTTTCATAATTAATAGCCAAACTTCCCTGGAGACCTACAATGTTACATTTAGCTCTTTGTCCACATTCGTATATATGGGTACATCAGTACAAATGTGTTTACCCATTACATCACCTGTGTACCTACTAACATTATTCTCCTTTCTAACTCAGGAGCAGGTTCTCTCGCTATGGTCGTTGCCTATGCTGCTTAGAATTTATTGCCATCCACCTATCTACTAAAGCGCATAAGAACCGCGAAATGCCGTGTAATTAGCAAAGCAGAAATCTCGACCCTCGTGGAATTAAGCATCTCATTTCCGCCCATACGTAAACCATACGAGCTCAATCCTTTTACGATTAACTCATTATCATTAATATTTAATGATCATAATGTGAAATCTTTTGATACTAAGATATATTGCATTTATACAATTTAATATTACCATATGTTATGTAAAATAATGCAAAAATATGAAAATGTCTAATTATCCATACAAATATGGCTCATTTTTGTATCATCATTTCTCTCAATAAAAACTTAATGTTAATCGTAAAAATTTTCATAAACTTTTTCATTATTTATGTTACAAAACAAATTGAGATTCTGATGTTTCTGAAAGAAATTTAATTTAATTTTGCATTATACTGTAATCAATTTAATTCTGCATTTTTCGATGTGTATAGTAATTAAGATTATATTTTATTAAATTATCTTTTGTTAAAGACAAAAATCTGTTTTATAAAAATTTGTATATTTTTGTAAGGCGTAAAAATCGATAATAACAAAGAATGATATATTCTTTTGTAATACGTTCCAGATGAAAGAACGATTATAGCATTTGGATTTGTTCCCCTTTAAGTTTCAGAGTGATAGATAATATGAATGACGCTGAGAGCGAACAGTAATTGTTACATCGCATGTCTGATCGCAAAAGCTGGGGAAGGGATAAATGAGAGAGAAGTGAATCGCCTAGAATTGATTTATTGCCGTTGAAGTACGTAAAACGCACTTCATTGGTCCCTCGTTATTGACAAGCGATGAGAAAGAGAGGGAGGAAAAAAGAGAATATCTTCTGATTGATATTAAATTTTTCCAATATTTAAATTAAATTTCAATGATTAAATATGGCTGTGACGTTCTAATATTGTAAATAAAAGATTAATACAATACATAAAAATTTAAGAAAAACACAAGTAAAAAACAAAATTGCATAATTAATTCATTTCACATACTTTTGGCACATTATTCCAACTTATTTTTAAATTTTAAAAAGTCGCTCTTTTAATTTATTATAAATCACAACAAAAATTGATAATTATTTGATTTGAATTAGTTACAAATTATAGAAGTGATTGAGTTAGGTATATTATTACGGGTTTTAGACGCCTGTCGATATATGACGTTATATATCTCGTCTATACGGACAGTTAACGATAATTGGAAACATCCCTTGCGCATCATCGCATCGATTCTAGCCCTTCTAATTGAGGAAATGGGTGCGGGGGCGGGTTAAGGGCTAAAATTATCGTGGGGTGAAAGGCATCCTTTATTCCGTCATCATCTTTGACGCTTCTAATGCCATTATTTCTTAAGCAACATGTCGATCGACATTACGTAAACTCGAGAAGTAATTATTATTGCTCAATTATAACATGATATTTAATCTTTATTTAAAGAATAATTAGAATTTGTGTGCACGTGTTTAATATATAAATTATCGTATTTATGTATTTTTTAAACAAATTTTAAATTAAAATTTATATTACTTATTTTCGTTGTAATAATTTGATAAGTGTCATATAAATTATTAACAGATTTAATAGCTTGGTAGTAAGAAGAAGATAAAATATATACAATATATTAGACAGTAAAAGATTATTTCTAGTTTTATAAATACTTTAAAGTGTGTTAATGGGCTTAGTTCCACGTATCACTATAAGTATATGTGTATTTAATTCAACTATTTGTTGCATGCAATCGTGTAAATACTAAACACTTGATAAAACTATCGCGGATTTAACTATCCTAAAAAATAACAAATTGTATAAACCTCGACAAATTATTAGCTTTAAAAATAATTCGTGTTATTAATTCTTCTAGCTCATCAATTAGGATTAACAAAATCGCATGCTAATCTTGGTGTTGATACATCGTTATAGAATCAATTGCATAATTACTTTCTTATAAAGTTCAAGTATTTAACATAATTTTTGGCCCGTTTTCGTCATAATCCCGATTGCGTAAGTGCATTTACAAATGCATATCGCTTGCCATATCCCGTGAAGGTGAGCGAACTTGGAAAGGCGGAGGATAGATACCATGAGGGAACAGTGGAGTTAGATTAAACTCGAGTAGAAACAGAGCGCCTCTCGGGATGGCCGGGGCTTAAACAGTTTTAATCTATGCCTAGCAAGCTCACGTGAAAACAAATCGCGGCCTTATCACCACCTGTGAAGCAGATAACAACTTTTCTCTCGTTCCTCGTCTTTCCCTCCCTTTTTCGTTCACCGATTCACCCTTTCCTCCTTCGCATCTCGCTCTGGTTCGTCGTCATTTCCACTTCGCGTTCCATGCGTTCGCCTCTATCCATTTTACTCTACCTTCTTTGTTTCGGGTGTTGCGCTCCCCTTTATCTCTTTCTCGCTTCCTCTCTATTTCTCCAGACTGTTCGCATGAACTCCAAACATACGACCGTACGGCCCACCCGACGGATGCACCGATTAAACTTTCGAAAACTGTTTGCATGAATAGCCAAGCATTTTGCCGCACGTGTGCCAGCAGTGAGTGCTGACAATTAACACGCCGAAAATAGAGAAAGCAACTCACCGACAGACCTGCCTCTCGTAATACTCTTTCGCGAGTTAAAACGATCTTTATTAATTAGCAATCTCGACGGTATTATGTATATAATCCCTTCTGTCTTTATAATTTCATTTAACATTCGAAACCGCTATTGATAAAGTAAATAATTCGAGTTTGTGTTTTGTCGCCCGAATGATTAATTATATATCCAGTCGGAATCGAGTCTCAGTAACATTTGTTTAATTAATAATTACTTATCATTTAATTAATAACACAAAATGTTTCTTTTTAAATAAATATGATATTACATATCGTGCCAGCAAACAATAAAAATATATAAATAATTAAAAATTATTCAAACGCAATAAAAAATAATGAAAGGGATAAAATAATAGCATAATTATTTTTCCACTTCCTTAAAATAATTTGTTAAATACAAACGCAATGATATTCGTATCAGTGTCTGCCTATAACTGATCTAATCAACGAAGAATACGTTCGAAATAATCATTGAGAGTTGAAATATTTTTCTTAGATATTGAACTCTCTGATCCGTTATACGTACTACAAAAATACGGCCATAAAGTGACATCATGTTTTAATAAAACTGCAGCCACAGTTATCGGACACAAACAGAAATTATTTCCTGTCAGACTCGATTTCCTTTTTCACCCCAAAAGCCGGAGTAGTAAGAGCATTGGTAAAAGTAGATCGTGGAAGTTGCCGGAATCCCCGGTGTGTCCGTGACAAGACCAGTAAGAAACAACCGGACAAATTGGCGGAGGACAATACTTACACCAGCGCGGATTTCTCCGACGCCAATCTGTTACGAGCGAAAGGGAATGAGCAAGGAAAATGAGTTAACCGTTACCTGCAAATCACGACATCCGGAATTTGGCGACTAAGAATCTCTCAACCGTATTGCACACAATAAAAAAAATACATAGCTTATTATTTGAAATAAGATATACAGTAACGGACATAAAAAATATCAAGATATAATCGATATAAAAAATAATACTATGAAATAGTACTTTGAAAGAAAATAATTTTAAATTTAATGTAAAATTTTATCTCTTGAATTTATGTGCAAAAAAACTTTGAGGTCAAATTTCATTCAGACATCATGTCACTGTCATCCGAAAATTATGACGGATCTCTGATATAATCATATTTTTCTATATTTATATTGTTGCTAACACGATATATATATCCAAGGCATATTATTTAAAATACACAGATTTCTGTTATTTTATAGTAAAATAATAGTTTGTCACTCACCGATCGATGCGCAACAGCGGAGTTGATGATATGGAAGTTACATTGATCTGTAATATACATACAAATAGAAAATCCAAATTGTAACAGTGCTCAAAATAATTAATACTTATTATTAAATATATTAAAAACTATTATACCATACATATTAAATTTTATATTCGATACGTACAATAACAAGCAAATATTTAATAAAATAATTTTATAAATTTTTAAAAAATTTTATTAATAATTCTCTATAAATTTATTTTAGAGTCTAAAATACTAATAACTCTATATAAAAACTGTAAAATAAAAACTTTATAAAATTATATTTTTTTATATAAAAGTGTTTTTTTCTTATCTTTTTAATTATCTCTTATTTAAACAATCTAAAAATCATATAATTAATTGTAATTGTAACTGTAATTTATGTATTCAAATTGTACACGATAAATATAAATAATAATTTATTTATTTCATGGTTTTACTTACTCCATTGGTCCTCGATTTCTAGGTCTCACCCTCTTCTCAGGTTGTCAGGATCGTCAAAATTCATTAATTCACACACACTTCGCATGGCATTTCCGAATTCTGCGCCTGCAAAACAACGTAACGATTCTCAATACATTAAAAACCGACAATACATGCGTATATTTTTATTTAGCTTCTCCTTCAGAATCAATCTTCAGGCATTAAGCCCTTCTATCAATGTTAAGGTGTACGTTAAGATGTAGCTGTTAATATATATAATCATAATATCATAAATTTTAATTAAGTTCAATTATATATAATAATTATATATATAAAATTGAGTTTAATAAAAATTCAAATACTAAAAAAATTTAAGGATTAAACAAATACCTATTTACTACTAAAGTTAAATTTCAATTTCTTATTCTTTTCTCTATCTTTTTTAACGAGATACGTATTAAAGAAAAACTAATAATAACAAAATAAGTTGAAATTTAATAGCGTTTCTGTCATAAAGTGACTGTACAATCTCTAACTTTCGTACTTTCTCTTGTTGGCGGTCCCAATACAACTTGTCCACGAGGTAAAGTTGGCATTGGATAAGGCTGATTAGCCAATAAATCGAGTCTGAAAGGAGAAATTCATTAACCCACAACCATAAATAACCAGACACGCTCTCTCTCTCTCAATGGCTCTTGCGAAACAATAGTTATAGTATATTTATGCAAAGTTTCCAGTTACACAGATGGGTAAGAGAAGGTACGAGAGTCGAGGGTGGTAGACTGGCAAGCACAGAAAGTCGGTAGAATGCCATTGTATTTCCATCGCGCTGCTATAAAGCACTACCTTTTCTGGATGTACGATACTTTCCTTTTTTGCGTTTCTTCGTAATTTCATCATTATCTGTTTTTTCCCTGTGCTATCAAAACGATAATAATTCTGTACATACATCGTAACGTAGTTTAAGATCGCAAAAAGAATAACGACAATGAAGAAATTAATTAACAAGGAGAAAAAGAGAGAGAGAGAGAGAGAGAGAAAAAAAGTGAAAGGCATAGTTAAGCGAAAACAGGATTGCTTGGTAGAACGATTTCATTCGTGGACAAAGTGGTCTGGTGGAGAAACTTCGAAGTGACCTCGCAAGTAGCCAATCCGCTTCGTAGTATCAAGTTTCTAAATTTCCGGTCGTTACAAACGGTCGAAGGGAACGCTATACGATGATGAAAGCAACTCGTAGTCCGGAAACCAAAGGGGCAAATTTCAGTTTGACTGGAGACACTCGGCCTTTCCTCACTTTTATCTATCTCTACCCTAAGAATTTCTCTTTGCTGCATCTCGTTGCTGAGATTTCTCCCTCTCGTTCTTGTTCTTATTTTACATCATTCTCGTATTCCTACTCATCTCCGTTTTCTTTCTCGCTTCTACAGTTGTCTTATTCACTGTTTCGCTTCAGTTCCTCCATTTTCCCGCTTTCTCGCCCTTAGCGCTTACCTTCCCTCGCCTTACATTTGTGTTCTACGCTTCCACGGGGGTGTTAACGGTCTATTTCGACTTGGACCTACGGGAAATTAGTTGAAACTCCCTCGGGGCCGGCAGCAGCTTGGGCAAGATTCCCTTCTGCACACAGCGACTTCTCTCTCAGCAGTTGAGATCGAGACGAAACGCAGCTGGGATGTAGATAAGGCTATGGGTGTATAGTCGATGAGATTTTGCAACGATAAATAAGACTCGAATTGCTAGCGTAATTCGAACTATTGATTGTATGCTTGATTGCGAACGAATTCAGAAAAATTACTATTTCCATTAATACTTATAAAGATAAATTATATCGTATTTTTTATACGAATAAAAGTAAATATAAAAATATTTATTAAAATATAAATGAGTTTGTGCTTGTACATACATTGCAATCATATTTACAAGATTCTCTTTAGATTTGTCTTAAACTATGTTATTAATTTTATATTTTATTAAAGCTTCTCATATTCTATATCCTAACATTTATATATATATATGTATTTTGAGCTTCCTAAATTTCTCAGTTTCTGTAAATAGAAAACTTTCTCGGAAATATTGTTATTAACTCGGTAGAAACTATCTCGCGAAGTGAAAAAGTTTCGTCTAGAACTTTCCTATCCTTAGTATAAAGTCGGAGTATTTCAACGGCATGATAAGGTATTCGTTTCCTGATTATATAATTAAAAGATTTGTACAGAATGTGTTACTTGTTTATATGAAATGGAATATATCATTCATAAACACTTTAAAGCAAGATGCAAGTCATGTATGATATAAGTTTATTGATATAATTAAACGTAAGAGAAAGATTCTGTTTAATTGTAATTTGTAAAACAAATATTTTTTGTCTTTTTCTTACATTAAATTCGAAAAAAATAAATAACATTATTTCTCTTTTATGTATCAATTCAATAGTTCGAAATATTCAAGCATACGTGATGAAAGTTGTAAAGTGAAACATTTGCACGGGTTGTTTTCTTCCAAGTTTTGGCACAAACTATCTTAGGCATCGGCTTACAGGCATTTTCTCGTACAAGATCCGCTTTCTTTCAGCGTGACGTGTATTCGCACACAACATTGCAAAACGGAACGGATAGCCCGATAAAGAAATAACAAAAACAAGAAAACAAGGAAGAAGATTTCGAGCTACGCGGTGCAGAACATCGCTAAAGAAAATAGATTCCTCGATTTTCTTTGATTCTCTCAAGCTACGTTTTCATCTTCTCGCCCCAATCTTCGTACAAAATTTAAACATATATGTCACTTTTCCGTTCGTGATATTGTGTTGCGCGATTGGAAGCTGTCCGCGAATATATTCCTCTTCTTACTCTTCTAGCCAACGTATATATATCCATAGAAAAATCTATGGGCGTGTATTTATATAATATCGTTTTATCTAAATCTAAATCTAAGAATCAATGCCGTATATTGTGCTCACACCAGAAATATACCGAATTGTTTTTACAGAAGAGAACCAAGATATATATTTCATAAATATCAAGAAACATGGTATCATGCGCCAAGTTACGTGTAGCGAAGTTAATAAATAGAAGGATGAATCATGATATACATGCGTTTATTTTATGATGTTTAATTAAGAAATTACATAATTTTAAAAAATTCTTTGGTTACTCAAAATTTTCATAAAATAAAATAAATAAAAATAAAAAATTTGAAATCAATTTAAAATTTTTATTTAATAATCTAAATAATTATAACTCTTAAACAATATTGTAAATATATTGTATATACATACGTATTTATAAAAAGATATTTTAAATGTATTTATATGTATTTATATTTAAATTATACGCATTTTATTAGGTACCTTTACATCATTTTTTTAAATAAAATATAAAATATATTTTATATTTATTATATTTATAATACACAAAATAAATAGTTATCGCGAAGATAAACAGACAATTATTTTAATAATAAATAAGTAAACTATTAAATTAAATAAGTTGTAAATTGCTCATTACATGCTTGCTTTGCTGTCGTGCTTTCTGAGCTTCTATGTCCTCTCTTATTCACCTTTGTTGCTTCTTCATAGCACTTATACAAGTTTACACACAAAAACAGCGTTAATTATAATCGCACGCACACTAATCAGCAGAATACAATGCTCACCTGCCACTTTGCACGACACTTCCGACGTTAATCGCACGCGCGCGACGCGCACTTTATTATATTGCGACGAGAGAACAATACAAAAACTACGACTCACTCAACGCTTGAAATCTACAGTCAAATTCATGCACCGCTGTTGTGACAATGCTACCTTTGTTAACGTATAGTGTAATATGCTCGCATCTTGCGACAATTTTATTATTTCGGATTATAAACGTAGAGATGGATAAACATACAAACGAAAAAAGAATTAAATACCCGCAATATTAAATATATTCGAGTTCTTGAATGTTTTTTACGTGACGGATTTTGATTAAATAAGCCCCGCAAAATATATAACAAATTAAATATAATGTTATGTAAATACCCAATTTATATACGATTGATGAATATATGTATAAATAAATGTATATCAATTAATATGTAATTAAATTTAAAATTAATAATAACTGTATTTTTTAATTAAATCACTTGTCACGAAGTCAATTCGTATTCGTGATGTTTCATTGTCGTTTGACTAAAAAAATCAAAAATCATCTTTATCCCGATACAAAAAAGAGTAACTTGTTAAAATTATAGGAACCAACAGAAAATAAATAATCGAAACTCAATATTTCATAGTACATTTCTAATGTAAATCCTACTATATAACGCATTTTACTAACAAACAGTCGATATATCATATCTTTTGATTAAATCAAGTATTATTGTTACTATGATATTCTTATATATCGTTTATCGTGAGAGTTAATCAACGATATATAAACTATTAATTATAATAATTATAGAAAATATTTATAGAAAGATTACCTTTTGAAGTGTTATATGCTAACAGAGCGGTCCGTGTTGTTTACCTGCTCGTTCGAGTCTTGACGTACGAATGAATGATGAGAACGAACGATGACAACAAAGCTGCGGTATGTAAACAAAGCCCTATATGCCGCAAGAAACGACCCTCGCACGTGATAGTTGATTCAAAATACAAAAACAAGGTACTTAACAATGTAGATATTTAATTTTTAACAAATTTACACACATGCGCAATATTCTGTTTCTTTGAATTTTTATATTAATTATTAATAAATGATATATCGGCTTTTTGTTACTTTAATCACTTGAAACTCTGTCAATCCGTGTATTATTGTGTGTTTTTAATAGAAAAGCAAATTACATTAGCAAATTAAATAATATTTTTAAAAACCTAACCGGCATAAAATTTAATGTACAATGCCAGATATATTTAAATTCAAATATTATTAGAGAAATAATTATTTCCCGTATGCATATCGCAATAAAATAATAATTTATAATTTTACTTTAATAATTTCATTTTATAATATCATTTTGTTTCTAATTTTAAACAAATGTATCAAGCAGAAATACTTGCTTTAAATAAGGTAACAGTCGTTTCGATATATTTATGAGTCGTGAATCGAGATAATTAATTAATCTCGCGGATTGATAATTTTTAATTATTCATAAAAAATAATCGCGTTTTTATATAGTATCTCTTTACATTTATTGCATATATCGAGAAAAATGATATGACGATAGATGGAGCGCCTCGTTTCATTATTTTCCTGTTTAAGTCTCAGCGTATGAATGATAATAAGGCGATCATGTGCAAACAACGATGTAACATCACATTATACATCCAAAAAAAAAGCATAATGAAATTTAAATGTTAAATAATAGCGTGATATAAATTATTATTTTATTATAATATTTAATAACTATTTTTAATAATAATTATCTTTATGAATAACTATTTCTATGAACGAAAAAACACTTGTCATGCATTTATATGTAATACATCATAATACAATATAAATGTATTTTATCAAATGAAAATTATTTTAATGCTTTATTTCATACATAGAATTAAGTAATAAAAAATCATATATTGAGGAAAGTTATTACATAATTATTAAATGAATAAATTAAACGCGGTAACTTATCAATAGAAATGAGAAACTTGGAGGGATTCTGATACGCAAACACATGTCCGTGTTGGTATGTATGCGGCTTTCGCACCAAAGTTTGCCAGCCGCTCACACAACGTTTCCAGACTACTCGTGAACACGTGTTCGGCTTGATGCGTGTATCACGAATAGACTCTAAAGCATAGGTAATTTGTAACTCGATCGTTCATACGTGCGAATCTAATAAAAAAAGCGTAATTTTAGCAATATCAATTAATCGTGATTGTTTGATGATATTAAGCGATACTAATTTTTTATTTAATTATCAATATGTTTAAAAAAATTTACTTTCCATTATATAAATACAAATTAAATACAAATTAATTGTACATTAATTAAACAAAGACAGTGATACAAATGTTTGTCTGTATCGTGCTTCTCACTGAAATTATACAAAAAGTCTATTTCGAGCGCTCGTTTGGCGCGATGTCGTTAGAATATAAGACATTCGCAGAAATACTCATGGGACGGGTCTTTTTGCTTGCCACCGACATGATCGCGCCTTTGCCGCCGAGGTTTTTGGCCATTGCAGAGGGGGCGGAGGTTAAAGGGGATATGGCCGAGGTACGTAATGAATATATTTGCATATCAGGGCCGTTACCGAGCCGTTACTGGTACAAGGTATATCGAAGTACAAGTCTGCCTCGGCTGCCAAATATGCATGCATCTCGCCCGGGGCCAACCGTCCATACCGCTTCAACCAACGCCCATGTATATAACACTTGGAAGAGAGAATTGCCGATTAGTTTGCAAACTAGGGACGTGCATTCCGTCGCGCATGTATATATTTCTGTCTACCTACTCAAGCGTGGAATTTCGCGCTTAGGTTCGCCGAGGCAGGCGAATTAGTAACGGTACGTAAGAGACGTTAGAACGACAAGTCTATGATGAGAATCCTATTTGCTCTGCATTCTAAAGGCGATGAGATCTAATTCACGTGGCTTAAGTAACATATGGGAAATTAAAATTATTCGTAAATATGTTTTTTTAATATAATTTCGATATAATATAGAAAGGATTTTTTTGGAAAGAAGAGGAATTCATGTAATTTGCTTTAGATCCATCTAATATAATTCATTATCTAAGAAGCGAAAATAACTTCCAAACTTTTCCTTTAATTTCCTTTTCCTAAAGCAAAATTTCCACTCATTATTTAGTAGTTATAGACGCAAATAAATCTATTTTTTTATAATTATGTTTGCATGCATGCGTAGCGGTATTAAAAACTGATGATTTTACAACGGACGTGTCTCGCGCTGGATAACGAGCAATGAGGACCTTTTGGATTTTAAAAGTTCGATAATTGCCGAGGACACGTCTGCCGGTAAAATCGAGCCCACCGCAGCCTTTGTGGTCTAGTCCCTCCACGTCCTTCGTTTTCTCGTCGTCCTCTCGTCGTCTACCCTCGCATCGGTCTGTAAAAGTCAGCATATTTCAGCTTTCGCGCGATGCTCACTTCGTCGGCCGTGAATGGTAAGAGAGCAAAAAGCGGAGACAACGAGAGGACAGAGAAGAGAATCTTATCGTGGATGAATAGAAAAGAGAACGATACATCGCAAATGAGAGGGGAAGAAAGAAAGTGGAGAGAGTGAAAATAGGGAGTACGATCGGCGAAAATATACTCCTCCAGTCGCCTCATTTTTCTCAAAACTTTTCCCGCGTGAATTTGGATTAAACGTTCCGAAGTTTGCAATACGAACAATAATTTGCTCGGGGATTCCAGCGGCAGTTCGCTGGACCGAAAGGGAGAGCGGCAGTATCGATCCGGCGCGAGAGAGTTAGCGAAATTAAAATTCTAGTTCAACCAAGCAATATCCAATTATGGCGGAAGCAGGAATATTAGTATCCGGTTTTTACTTCTGTTTATCTTTTTGACGAATTCCCGACAAACATGAAGTTTATGATAAACTTGATTCGGTTGAAACTTCTGTTATATCAGGACTTTTGTATCGCGAAAAAAGGAAGAAGGCAAAGTTTATTAAAATAAACGGCCTGATACGCCCGGCGGTTTCTTTGAAGCCCATATTTTACGCCCCTTTCAAACCGTCAACGGATTGACGTGACCCTTTTACATTCGCGTCATCGTTACCATTCGCATGATTCACGGCGAGCGGCATCGATTGTTTCGCACACGCGGCTTTTCCTTGCATGAAAGCGTAGCGCCAGTTCCGATCGCAGGTGTATTCAAGTTTGGTCGGTCCATTGATTTAGTTTTCTACGTTCTGCCGGTTTGAATGTCAGCTATTTGTTCATTCCTGCACGGCCGCTCGGCCGATCGTTTTTATTCTATAACCTGTCATCGCGATAGTCCATCGGGAGTGATCAAGAAAACGATTCTTTTTCCATAGATTGATCGGTATAAATGTGATCACTGACTTGCGTAAAATACACATGTGTATATATGTATACGCATATATATCATGGCCATTTTTAACGTATTGACATATCTATACATATATATCTCAGATTAAATAAAAAAGTACGTCTAAAGCTATAAAAATCACTGGGAATCTACTAAAAATTTCATCAAAATAAGTATCGCTAAAAACTTAATAAAATAAAATAATTTATATATAATATTCTTAATGACAAAATGAGAAAAATTGACATAAATACAACTTTATTGTAATATTATAATTTTAGTTGTACTGATAATTCTTTACTATGAAGTTATAATATTATTTGGCTTATAAGAATATAAAATTCCGACTCGAAAACTCTTGTAATCACAGTTTCGAAGACAAGCCTGCAAGTATTCGCGGTATGCTGGAAATTTCTGTTAAACGGATACGAAGCGATGTTGGCTACAGAGTGTTAAGCTCGGATATTTTCCCCTGACAAACGCACCTTTATTGCCCCTTATCCGTGACTGTTCGTCTATGAAATGCCTTCAATCGAATCTACTTGGAATCACCTAAATTCCCTGAGAATTTAATCAGAACGTGAGCTCTCTGTCCGCCAGGCAGCGAGAGAGTTCCTCTCTATCTCTCTCCTTCACTGTCTCATCTACTTTCCTCTCTTTCTATCCCTCGTTTCGTACTCTCATCGCTTCTGTGCAGCTTTGTAGGACGCGGACAATAGTTTCACCGCACGTGCTTAGCTCCCCGGTCACGTGCGTGGCCTTCCAGTGGCTTCTTACAAGTTCAACGGACAAGTTTAGCTCCTTTCGTCTTTCGATAGTTAGGTTTCGATGCCTGGTCCGTAAAAACTACCAACTGACCATTCGTACACGTTCAGTATTTTTATATTTTTCATGTTTCCTCTTGGGTGTGCGGGAGAAACGTCTACAAAGACGAGTGTACATCATTGATACGAAATATTGCGATACGGGAATATAAAGACAGCGTTTTCCATAAATCCTGAAAATTTCTTGTTCCATTTTTTATAAATGAATTAAAAATTTTAAGGTACATGTTATATCTAATTATATTATTATGTTACATCGTATTTCCATCATTACGTAGCTAAAAATAAAAAATTGTATTTTTACGAGATACAGAAAAATAACAGATATATCGTTTTACAAATATATTTGGACAAATTTGAACAAATAAATTTTCTGTCAATTTTATTATATTCCGTAATATTACGCAATAGAGTAAAAACAATGCAATAGCATAGATGTTACATATAACATGTCATATTATATGTTATAAAGTTGCAAATCGATATATAAAATTCAACTGCGTCTAAGCATAAACATTAATGGCAAAAATAATTTGGACATTTCACACGCTATGCATGTATATTCACCGGTACAGAAAAAGATATATATATATATATATATATATATATATTCACCATACGAATCACATGATTCAAACAGTCTCGAGAGACTCTCCGATCGAGTGTCAAAGTGGTGCGTATCGGTGTCCGGTCAGACCG